CGTAAGCCCGCCCCTCAAGGGGGCGGGCTTGCGATGATCGCAAGTACGATCTGCCTGTCCAAGATGGGCAGATCGTACGTTTTTTTAAGTACTTTACAACCATCGCAAGACAAAAGTCTTGCGAGGGTTGTAAAGTGTATGGGCACCTTTAGACTCCATGTACTGTGACTTAGAGATGTGATTGGTTGCAGGGGTGGGCTGGCAGAAGCCTGGCTTTCACTCATGTTACAAGACCTGCTATACGTCACACACTGGCACGTCACACTGAGCTGCTTCAAACGGATCAGCTCACTCAGCTGAATAGACTCCACCAGTTCACTGAATAGAATTGATTCAAAAGAACGATTCGTTCATGAACTGGACATCTCTATTCACCAGGGTCTTCAGACTTACTTGGCGGTGAGAGAATGGGGAAGTGACCAAAGCTTCCCAGTGCAAGAACGGGACACTCTGCAGCTTGATGTGATCATACAGACCCTGAAAAACAAGAACACACAGAGGTCACTGATATCTCTCATACAGACGTCTTGTCAACAATATTATTATTATACAGGATTTATATAGCGCCAGCAGTTTACTCAGCGATTTACAATATAAGGAAGACATTACAATCACAATACAAATTCAAGACAAGATGGTAAGGAGGGCCCTGCCCCCGAGAGCTTACAATCTAAAAGGGAGGGGGAAGTGATACATGAGGACGTAGCTGTGTGGGGATGAATTGTTTGAGAACGTGATGGTTCAGGGGTTAGGTTGAGGTGGGATAGGCTTCCCTGAAGAGATGAGTCTTAACATATCGCATGACATATAAGAGTCAAGAGTACCTGTTGACAACCCTGAAAGTAGGTGAGCAGTAGTCTCACTCACCTCAACAAAGAAAGTTTAGTGTCACTTTAACCTCTCTGGCGGTATTCCCGAGTCTGGCTCGGGGTTAATTTTCAGTACCAAGAGCGCTAACCCAGAGCCACACTCGGGATTGAGCAAAAATGTCACTTACTTGTCCCGGCGGTGTCCTCTGCTGTGTTCGCCCGGCCGATGCCGGCATTCGGCTTTCAGTTTCGTTTTCGGGCATCACAGCGGGGGGCGGAGCCGGCGGGAAATTCAGAAGTGCAAACATGACATTTACACAGAATACACACAATACAATGTAATCTGCTATAATTACATATATGTATCAAACTATTTCACTTCAATTGCGTCCCTAGAGCTTTGTCTAGTGCCCTGCCTGCACTTTTACTGTACTCTATTCACTGTGGTACGGATCAGGCAGCGCCCCCAGAATTCCCATTTACTGGACCATTTAAAAAAAAAATTATATTATATTTTTATAACTGTGTAACTGATGGAATTGTGCTGCATTTATGTATAGAGGGTTACAAACAATGTGACTTAAGGCACATACCTTGTTTGACTGTCCTCATGGTGAGAACTCATGCAACAGGGAGAGGTGATGGGCTCTGCAATCAAGTGGCGGCTGCTAGTTCCTCCTGGCCGAGGCCCCAGCGCTGCCCCATAGTGTGCCTGCAGGCTGCTGTACTCGGCGTCGGCGAGGCACTTCAAATTCCACAGCTATTTTCCCCTGGCGTCGGCTATGGGGCGGATGTGACTGACGTTGTGGGACCTGATTGGAGCCTGAGCAGCCGCTGCTAGTTCGGTGCGACGGGTGGCCTCTCAGTCAGAGCGGCGGAGGGAGAGACTATTTTCTCATTGGAGGGGGAACTGGGCATTTTCCACCCCCGAGAAAATGGTCTCTCCCTCCGCCGCTCTGACAGGGATGGCCACCGGCCTCACTGAACAAGCAGCGGGTGCACACTCGTATCCGCCACTGTTAGCGGGGGGGCAAGGACTAACCTAGGGGGGGCAATTGCCCCCCTCTAGCAACGCCACTGGGCCAGATTATTATGACCACCCCATCAGTACTTCGTTGGGCCACGAGATAACTCCACGAGATGACTTCGTTGGGCCGCATCGTGACTCCACGAGATGTTGAAAGGTGATGCGAGGAATCTGACACTGCACTGTTGCCCTTCTGTTGTCTTGTACCAGTCTTGCCCCTCCCCTGTTCTGCCCTAACATTGACTAGTCGCTGACGGCCACAATTCGCACGTTCAGACCCAGATTTTCGGCTGACAGTCCAGTCTACATATATACTGTACACGGAATAAATCGATCCACAAAATCTGAAAAGTAATCTTGGTCTTTAAAGCAGCAACTTGGAAGCGCCTCCAATATGAAAGAACTGGTAATATATGAATGGATGCGTCCTTCCCAATCCTCCCGGATCACATGTGACTCAATATTAGAAAATCGAGTTAAAGAAAAAAGAAAATCTGGAAAAATAAACCAAGAGCTGTAAAGAGGAATGTGGAGGTTTCCTCGGACTTCCAGGACGTGATCGGGTGACATCGGCAGTGAGACGCATTTAGCAATCAGCGGGATTATTGATGTCTGTCGTTATATTGTCACATCGGACAAATGAAATGACAGGAGATGAATGGAATGGATCCTCGGAGATAAATGAAGAAGACGGTCACATAATTGCTCTTTCCATATCTCATTTATCCGGGGTTGGTGGCCAAAACGTTCCGTGATGTCGCATTTTCACATACATCAAAATAAACAGATAATGTTACGAGATCCGAGTCGAAGATGTTTATACTAGGGATGCACTGATATTGGTTTTTTGGTATCGAGTACGGATATTTTGCTTTCAGTGCTCGCTGATACCAAATACTTATACCGGTGCTTCCGCTGGAATGGAGTCGGCATCCCGGCCAATCAGGAAGCAGGGCGTCAAGTAATGAGCTGCCTCCTGATTGGCCGGGAAACCGGCTCTATGCTGATTGGCTGGAAAGCCGGCTTCCCGGCCAATCAGGAAGTCGGGAGGCGGGTCGTTACTCCAGACGTCCCGACTCTCCCGGACGCTCCGGGAGTCTCCCGCTATTATATAGCGGCTCCCGGCTGAGATACACTTCCTTCCGGAAAGGTTTAATCTGCTCGATCGAGCAGATTAAACCTTTCCCTGCGATCGTTTTTTTTTTTCTTTTCTGACATCGGGAGCTGCGGCCCGACCGTCAGTCAGAAAAGGAAAAAAAAGGCATACGATTGCATAGCTAGATTCCTATTGGCTATTGCACTTTGCAATAGCCAATCAGCGGAGGGGGATCTGAAGTTTTCTATCAGGTCCTCTTCTGGTGATTGAAAGCAGCAGAGGGCGGGTGCAATAGCTAGTTGAAATAGCCAATAGGAATCTAGCTATGCATTCTATGCCTTTTTTTTTTTTTTT